TTTTATTTTCGCAATTAATTTCTCAAATAATTATGAAGGAATTCAATTACTTTAAATGCAATAATTTGTCTATGCATTATCCACTATTGATCTATTTAGAGTACAGTAGCAACTATATAACATTTTTGGTAATTTACTAATCACAAGTCGAACATAAATAATAAAACACCAGTATATTTATTTAATTACTTATTATCAAAGCCTTCTTTTTATTATTTAAATTAATCGCATTAGAACTAAGAGCGTTCTAGAATATAATTTGTACTTGGTCACGGTGATATCACAACTAGCTACGAACATCAATATTGTTGGGAATCTACTTATATATGCACAGCGGAATTTAAAATAATTTTCGATTCTCATCAAGAATCGCCTTTGTATTTAGATAAAAATTGTGATAATGATTGTACCTTTGAAGAATTCTGCAATCTTTTTGCTTTTCTTTTCGTTCCATCAACCTTGATTCGCCACCATAGCTGTTTAATTGTCCAGCCTCCAACGGATATCCACACAGAGAATAAGATTGCGGCTTCTAGGGTTTTCTCTTGTGCCAGCAAGAATAATGAAAATCATATGGATTTCAAATCATAACTATGTATTTATATAAACCCAAACGGACTCGGCCCATTCCTGTCCAATATTTAATTAATCCAATTAATTAAACTCGGTCCGTGAATTAATTCATCCAATTAATTAATTTAGGAATATAAATAACAAATCCAATTAATTAATTTATCCAACGATTGTTAAATTAACTAATTGACAATTTGCAATCTTCCAATTCTCTTTTGTGTGCGACCCATTAGGTTCCCGACCACGATGCCTAACGGCGTGAAATATTATTTTGATCTAATCAAAATTGATAAATTAAAACACCATTTTAATTTATCGTCAATTCACACTCGCCGTCCCTGATTGACATCTAGCAATGTGTCAGGGCAATACATGTGACGGGAAATGTCATGTGGTGTGACAAAATCAAATTCGTTCGTTTACCGTGAAACTATAATCCCTTCGTCAATATGATCCGATCAATTACGAGATATGGAATTGTGTCAATCTCGATCATCGATCATATCTTTCACTCCACTATTAAGTCAATATAAATTGAAAACTCCTTTTCGACTTATGAGTACACCTTGGCCAATGATTTCATCATTGACTTAATTGAATGAAACGCAGATCATAATTTCCTACTATCTAAGAGTGACGAATCATTTATTGATCAATCACAACCTTCATACGATTCTTGACGTACCTGAACGATGTCGTATTAGCGGCCCTTTTCAGAGCAACATCCAACACCGCCAAAGTATGACTGTCTTCATATAAGGTACCATGACGACCTCAAGTTAAATGACCAATTCCACTATCGAACGTTAGAGATTAACCACTGACACTCAGATAGTTCTCCATGTGAAATCTCTCGACGGGTCTCCAATGTTTTGTTTTATAACAAAAACATCCACGTGTTCATTTAAGTGTCACCACACTTTAACTTGTGAGATCAGCTACTTATTTCACAAGTAAGAAATGACACACGTGATGGTCTATCCGTAATAATGATATCCGTATCTCGTTATTACTTACGACCACGGATGATTTAAGATTCAATCAGATGTAATTTGTATCTCACAATCACAACTCCTTGTGATTAACAAATTACAAATATATGAACTCTATTATTTATTTAATTGTCTATTAATTAAATAATAGATCTGTCATTTAATTGCATTAATTATATATAAAAGTATTTATGTCCAAAGTTGATTGGACCTAGGGCCATAATACTTACAAATATACTGCGCGAATGCCTTTTATGAGTAAACCTAGTTGTTAAGACCCAAACTAGAACTTGCACTACTAGAAGAACCAAATTGGAATTGAGCTTGATTAATTTCACACATCTGTGTTCCACTATACATTTTGAATAGTGTCTATTTAGATGAGTCGTGCCAATACCCTTTTGTCAAGCTAGCATTTCTTTGAAGCATATACATTATATATTTCGTGCTCTGCCTTTTCATCTACTATGACACTCGTGGTCACCAATTTAAAGTGTTCCCGATACTTTTCACTTTATTTTTTCGTTCTTCATTTACTGTTTGAACGTATTATTACCGTTTCATCTTCTATACTATCATCCAAATCAATTAAATTTGTACTCCATGGTCGTTGTCGAATAGTCACGAGTTGAAACATAATTTAGATCGCTATAATCGTGGTCTAATGACAAAGTTGAATCTCATATGTTGGAAGAACCAAAATTTGGTTGTAGTCACCAGCTTCCAACAATATGCTATAATTCATTTGGAACAAAGAAAGAAAGAAAGAGGTAGGATAGTATAAGTTATACTAGTATTGCTCAGAATTATAGACAATAAAATTCATGATTGCACGATAAAAGAGCTAAATGAAGATTGCAAGAATTATATTGTAGATTGAGAAGGTAGAGAGAGTTGCATAAAAAAAAGAAAAAATGAAGCGGAAAAGGGGCATATGTAGGAAAGAAAAAGTTTCATTTTAAAAAAATAAAATGATCGAATAGACTGTACGTTGACCTAAACGATCATTTTTGTGACCATCTGGTGGCCAAATGATCACTGCCCAAGAGCTTCATATGAGTTGACTTGTGAATTTTTTTATGACTCGTCTCAATACGAGCCGAGCGCAAGGCCAAGTAGAGTTCATGACGACTCTATCTATTTGCCATCCTTAGAACTGATTGCGATGAAAAAAGGACAATTATGTACAGAGCTATGTCGCCTTAACGGTTGTAGTTGATGAAGCGATGGGCTGCACCTCAACCTCTCGGAATAAATTGTGGTTGAGGCTAAGATGATCGTATTGCATCAGAGAAGAGGTGCTTGAATTAACGAAATTCAACAATATTAATGAAAATAAATTTAATAATATATTATTTATTTTCATTTTTAGTATTTTGTACCAAATATATTCTCGACGTATCAATTTAATTAGTGTCATATTAAGGAAATAATCTATACATCCATTTCTTTCCTCCGGAGCGCCTTGCATGTTAGGCTAAAAGAAATAGTACCACTTTTGAAATTAGCCAAACATGCATGTACGACGTATTGCTATCCAAACAATCATGTTATACAACTATAATGGTTGACATAATTTTTAACACAATGACACATGACAGCCTCATTGGAAAATTTAAAACACAATCTACTTTTTCATCAAATCACATCATGCCAACATATTCTCATTCTCTCCGTCACACACTTTTTTCGCACACAAGCATTATTCCTATCCAAAACATAATGTTTCATGCTGTTGTCAGTCTTTCCTTCAACAAATACTGATGCCTCCCCTTTTTCACTTTAAATTTCACAAAATAAGTCGTGAAGAAAAAATTACTTACTCGTAAAGCATCACACTCAAACATACTCACACCTTCCAACTTATACTAACATAAAAGACTTGTTTGTCTATGGTGCCGACCATGACTATAGGCCGGGTATGCGAGTACGTAAGGCCCCATTTTGGTAAGGGGCCAAAAAAATTATTATTTTTTATTTTACATATATTTTTACACACATATTAGGTTTGACAACAGTTCGGTTATGGGTCAACCGCACTACCAATTTTTTGACTATATCATAACCACACCATAATCACGTAAATCGGTTCGATTCAGTTAATAACCACGAAAATAAATTATTTTTTATAGGTTCATCCGTCAAATTGATATAAAATAATTTATGAAAAAAGTCAATGAAAACAAAAATACAATATATTGTATTCGACCACGCCTCGGATTTGGCTCAAAGTCTATACTATAATTAGTACTGATTGAATTTATCCTCTTTTCGAAAATATTTGAAACAATGCATCAAATCCTGAAAATGCGTCCCTGGAATTGAATATAAAATGTAATTAGTTTACAGATACAACCAAAATGATTGAGATGAAATTTTTGTTCCAATAACATTGATTAAGAAGGCCCCTCACCTGAGGTCCTATCTTTTCTTTAAAATTGAAGTCCAATCTCATTCAAACTGAAGTCGTGTGAAAAATTTTCTAGAGGCGACGACGGCTAGGACCGTAGAGGTAGTGGAGCCATGTGTGAGTTCGTGGTTTGTGGAGAGTAGAGTTTGCATTTATATACTGTCATACTAATGCAATTATTATGGGTTAATGGTAAGTGGGCTGGGTCAAGTAGATGTAATGGAGGAATTTTGTTTTAGGCTGGATAGAAAAATAGCGTAAAACCTAATAATCAATTCAATTGTTTGTTTGTTTGTTTGTTTGTTTAGCGGGTAATCGGTTCGGTTTCAGTTTGAAGGCGTAAATTCTATACCCGTACCGTTTCGAACCGGTTTATTAAAATCAAATACCATATCCGCCTCATTGCACCATCGGTTCGATTTTTTTCGCTCCATTCGGTTCGATTAACCGCAGTTTTCGATTTTAACGATTCAAATTGTCATCTCTAACACATATATAGGATTTCATATTTGAAATTGATCTAATGTCCCCCAACTCTTATGACGGGCCTTGTTTAGCTAACGATTATAAACAATCAAAATAACTTTTTAACTCTACATTTCAAATATTCCTTAAATACTATTTACTTATTCATTAAATATTTCCCTTGTTAAAAATTTATGTTGACTCCACGAGGCTTTGATCGGTGCATGACAACCTATAGCACCACCTCCCTCGATAGAACGTTAGAGCTGACTAATCCGCCAACCCCACCACCCACATGTATATACTGTACGATACCTTGTATTTATCCTATGGTAGTGCTACACCCAGCCATGCTATTTATTTTCTTCACTCGTTGAACATTCAAAAGATCTAAATAATGGCATGATTGATTGCGATGTTTCTCTAACTTCTTGGAATCCCATCATTTTTAGGCGAGTAATCTCCCAGTTTCTTCATTTCTGGCCTCAGTAAACCACACTGCCGACAAGTTTCACCTGAAAAATGAAGGTTTTATATGATTTTTCTCTTTATTTAGCGTTTAAGTTCCGGAGTTATGTGTTTTATCAGAAGTGTCCATCTTTTTTCGTCTGGTTGTTGGGTGAATATGGTCTCGCATTCCTTCCCATGCTTCATCAATGATGCATTATTTGTAAAAATTCTGGATTTTTCATACTTTCATCAAATTAATTTAATATTCAATCTTGTTTGTCTTGGCATGGTTCTTTGGGTTAAAATATTAATTAGGAATATTCTGGGTTTGATGTCTGCTAGTGTGTGCATTCTCTGACAATTCTATGCAAGAAAACATGCTGGCATACATTTAGTATTATTATTGGAATTCCATGTAGGATTTGAAGATTACCCAGTTAAAAAGAATCTTTAACCCATTCCTGATTCATCTTTTTTGTACTTAATATTTTTGGATTCTTACCTTTCTGAGTCAGATTAACATGTTTTTGCTTTACTAATTTTATGGGCATGCTTGGATCCAGTTGTTTATGTGATTTTAACAGGGTTTGAGTACGTAGGGTAGTGGAGGCGGTGTATTATGGGTCGTTTATCATCGATTTTCAATGGATTTTCAAGGTCGTTGTTCCTCAAGAGAACAAAGAATTTGGAGAACAGTTTTGGGAATTGTGATGGAAGAGAGGCTGTGGAAGCTATGGCGAATGATGCGACGAAGAATGAGTTGATATTGACGACATCAGGCACTGTTAATGTCGAAAGATCACAGAATTTTGCTTCTGTTTTCTCGAAAAGAGGGCAGAAAGGCATGAATCAAGATTGCTGCATTGTTTGGGAGGTATGTGTTGAACACTTTATTTAGTTTATGTCATAAAAAATATGGTTGTATGACAGACAACTTTGGGTCTCTTTGACATGATTTTTGCCTTTTTACGAGAGTTTTTGGAGAAAGCTATCTTAATTTTTGTTTGGATTGGAAACTAATTTTTATAAGTATTTCCTTTCCCGAAAGTTCTTTTCATTTAAAACCTCTTCTAGCCGTCGAGAACACTTTCATAAAATTAGTCAAATGGTCCAAAAGTAGCTTTTGGATCTCAAAAGCTTTGCCAAGCGGACCATTTGTGGCCTCGTAGTCAAGTTGTAATTGCTCAAAACACTCATTGATATATAGCAATGTGGCTTTGCTTTAGATCTTCTTGTTGATAGCAATTATTTGGAATTTTCGCTTGCAGGAATTCGGATGCCAGGAGGACATGATATTCTGTGGGATATTTGATGGGCATGGCCCTTGGGGACATTTTGTGGCCAAGACGGTTAGGGAGTCGATGTTATCGTCTCTTCTCTGTAACTGGCAGAAGACCCTCGTCGAAGCTTCACTTGATCCCGATTTTGATCTGGAATCTGATAAAAAGCTTCATAAATTCCATATATGGAAGCATTCCTATTTGAAGACATGTGCTGCCATAGATCAGGAGCTGGAACACCAAAGTAAAATCGACTCATTCTACAGTGGCACTACTGGTTTGACAATTGTTAGACAGGTAATAGAAGTTCCTTTATTCTGTCATATGATATGCTAATCTCTATATGCAAATTCATTTTTCTCCTTTTTCCACTGATGTCTCTGTAAACATGGTTAATTAAAGAGAAATCAAGATAATATAAGATTTGGCAAGTTGGATAAAGAAATGTGAAGCATTCGTTAGCAAATTTACTATTTTCCAAAGACTTTTTCGTTACATAAAATATCTTCCACGTGTTAAACCAGAATAGTCGTCAATTTTGAATTCGAGCTACTATAAAACCTACACATCATGTTGGCCAATGGCCTCTTGACTAGTATGAATTTAACAACCTAAGGCACTGCTTTCGTAGTTTGTCCCAATCAACTCGGGGAAGAGTTAAGAGCCATATACATTTCATATACAGGTGCTAAAAGTCTGATTTAAGGTGATCCTTAAAAATTAGTTGGTCATTGAGAATCGTTTATAGGGACCATCTAGAGTATTTAACTTACCCTTTGGGCTTTCTTGAATGGCTTCTAGTGTAGAAAGCTCTCAAAGGATAGACACATTTATCTCGTGTATCTGAAATCCTTTTGCTCAACTTATTTTCTGCATTGCTAAAATAAATCTTGATTTATTTCTGTCAGGGTGAACATATTTTCATCGCAAATGTTGGCGATTCGCGTGCTGTACTGGCGATGACATCTGAAACTGGCAACTTGGTACCCGTACAGCTTACAGTTGACTTCAAGCCCAATCTACCTCGTTAGTCTACCTCTCTCTCGCTTCCTGGGCGCACATATGTTTCTGTCTCTATTCCTAGTTTAGTATCTATGCATCATATAACTCTGCTAACAATGTTCGCAGAGGAGGCTGAGCGAATAATTCAATGCAAAGGCAGAGTGTTCTGTTTGCAAGACGAGCCAGGGGTTCCCAGATTGTGGTTGCCTGATGAGGAATCTCCTGGACTAGCGATGTCTAGAGCTTTTGGTGACTATTGTGTTAAGGATTTTGGCCTCGTTTCCATTCCAGAAGTGACACAGAGATATATTACCAGTAAAGACCAGTTTGTCGTGCTAGCAACAGACGGGGTTAGTATGAAACTTTATTAATCTTGATTTCGTGGCCAAAGATATAACTGAAGGCAACAATATGCTTTTCGTCTCGTTAATATCCTCAAATAGATCAGTAAATCTGAACTCTTAAGTTTTCGAACAAAACCTAAAAGATGGAGGCAACATTGCATTTCTTCTCTTAAATTATACATCTCTTAGAATATCATGAGTTGAACTATGTGTTGAATCTGAACTCTGTGAGGATAATCAATCGTGCTTGGCTAAAAAACAGTGAACACTACCATCCAATCATTTTGGAAAAAGATACTTTGCCAGAATGATTCGACAAAAAGCTAGATATAATTGTATGTGATAATAATAATTGAATGAAAAAGTTGACTGTGTTTCGTGACATTATGTCAACCTTGATGTTAGTGTAGTATGATTGATCATTTTTTGCCTGAACTTAATTTGTCACCCAAGGTGTTAAAAACATCTGGCAAAATAGCATTATTCGAGGATAGTATGGCTGGCTTAAAATCATTGTGAGAGTTTGGTACGCATACTCTTTCTTTCTCTCTACTGATTCACAAAGTACATAGTATTTGTATAACATTCAGTATATTGAATCAATGAAAATGTTTGGTACGCAGTATTGAATAACACTGTATGTTACAACTATATTTGAATTTCTTTTATCCTATAATATTGTCCACTATACCGTACCAAACAATGCATAAGTGAATGTTTCCGTTTGAAAATCATGTAAAGAATATTGATTGACGAAACACCAAGGATATGATAGTGAAATCTGTGTTTGATCGATGAAGGTATGGGACGTTATCTCCAACGAAGAAGCGGTAGAAATTGTGTCATTGGCTCCAGACCGGGCAAAATCGGCTAGGCGTCTCGTGGAGTGTGCTGTCCATGCATGGAAGAAGAAGAGAAAGGGAATAGCAATGGATGATATATCAGCAATTGTACTCTTCTTCTTCACTGCTGCTGTATCTTCACCTAAGTAATTCTATCAATGTTAATGTTTTTCTATTCATTCTAAAACATTAATGACAAAAATGTCGCCCAACAGGGCCTGGGAGGGACATGATCAAGTCCAGCACAGCACTGTCTATTCCAATATATTATGATTTTTATTTTCAAATTAGCTAACTGATTATCAAAACATATGTAAAACTATTCAAACTTGTGAAACCCTTTAGAATTCTGATATAAAGATCTGAACATACGAACTCAAAAAAATTCCCAGTGACATTCAAATTCAAATTTAAAAACATTATTTGTTCAATCTTCATTTATCATATTGCAAAAGTGGTTAGCTGATAAATGATGATTATACCCTTCAAGCCCAGAATAAAAATTTAGACCCAAAGTCAGGGCGGATCCAGAAATATTTAGCGTACGGGCTAAAATTTAAAAGTAAATATAATTCGTTAAGCCGATAAGGCAACAAAAATAATTCATTGGGCCGATTGACCGACAAGGCAACAACAACAATCATTAAACCGATAAAGCAAGATGTCAACAAAAGTTATTAAGCCGATAAGACAACATTTCAAAAATAATTAATTAACTTATTGACCAACAAGATAAATAGGCAACAATTTCAATATTTTGCCAACAAGGCCACAAGTAGGGAGATAACGAGATTTACTTACTATGGAGTATATTTAAGCCTTTGCAGTTCCCCTTCCTACATGCCTGTGGGTGCCGTGAAAAATTTACTGCATTTTTGAAATTTAAAAATAATTCAATTAACTAAGGTGAAAAACTACTGTCAAAATTAATATAAATTGAATTCTCAAATCAGAAAATTTGAAAAATGCTCAAGTACTATGAAAAAACTAAAAAAAAATAAAAAATCATCAGGCCATTTCAACAAACTGCAAAAAAAAAAAAAAAAAAAAAAAAAATAAAAATCATTAGGCCATTTTCAACGAATTGCAAAAAAAAAACTTGGATTTTTCAAAAACTCATACTCAATAATCAATATTAAATTATTAACGAAAAATATATATAAAAGACGGTCCAAGTAATAAAATCTAAGAAACTAAAGTTACTTAACATTGAATTTCGAAACCGAAAATACTTATAAGTTGTCCAGTTCAAAAGCCACTGTGGAGCAAAATAACTTTTAAGAGATGAAATATTTGATTTGGGTAATGTGTTCCTTAATTTTGTAGAAATTTTATGTGGGATTGAAAATTTGGAAGTTTGAAGACTTTGGCTGCCGGGTCGAGAATGGAGAGGAATCACCGTCTTCTAGTTACTGTATGTCAAACGGAAGAAAATTGGATTAGAATTAGGTTTGTGTTTGGGTTTAAATGGGTAATAAATTGGGCCAAAAAATTAGAGTTGGTCCATTTACAAACACACTTTGTTGGAATTAGTTTTACGGGCTGCTCAATTGTTTTACATGGGCTCAACTACAAATAAAAAAAATGGAATTGGTGGACTAATGGATCTCGGCTTGGGCGAGGACGGGCTGTAGCCAGGGCCAGCTCGACCTGGATCCGCCCCTACAGGCCAAACTTACAAAACCTCTTTCTAAATTTTTGCTTAACATTAGTCGACATCATGCATATAATGGTCATCTATCTAACTGGCCTTAAAGGGAAAGTTTCTATAATTGCAACTCAGTCCTTGAACTTTTATAATATTTAGTTAGGTCTATGCTTAACTAAGTGACAGTTCACTTAGCTCCCGTTTGATTCTCATTCTTTGCCCACAAAAATGAAAAATATATCCGTTATCCATCACAACAAGTCATCATATTTGATTGTCTATCTCTTGTGTGGGTCCTCGTAACGATTATATTTTTCATTCTCATTCTTACAAAAATAGGTATCAAGCAGGGACTTAATATTATTAAGTGAAACATTATTTAGCTTGAAACTCCTCAAGTCAATAATATTTTTCCACAATTTTACTCATATTCCTGAACTTTTCAAATATTACAAACAGGTCTCATCACTTTTCGATTGTCAAATGATTTGTATCGTAACTTATAACTCTGTATTCCATCTATAGTTGACCATAATCCTATTTCTCAATACTTTCGGCTTTGGTCCCTGAAGAATTGAATGGATCCAAATTGGTTTAATAGTTTTCAAACTTTGTATTTACGCCACGTATAAGATTTTAGATTATTACAAATAGAGTGCTCTTTTCTTTCCCAACTTTGTCTATATGCTCACAGCTTGTCGCAAATTGTTGATAATCTATCACTAAACCTTACGAATCTTATCATTCCTCAATATTTTTTTATTTTTCTAATAGCATGATATTAGAAAGATTCACAAAAAATAAGCACATTGAAATGGAAAATAAATAAATTGCATGAAAACATTGATTTACTTGTTTGATATATGAGCTCTGCTGCAGGCCAGAGCACACACATACGTAGGCCCCAACGTATTTTTTTTTCATGTGGGAACGACCCCTACAGTGAGGGGTCGGTAAGACTTATGTGAGCATTTTTCTTGATATATGCTACGCTCAAGGGGCTAACTCGAATCAATCTTTCACTATTAACTATATTACACGATTATAGTATTTCTCTAAATCGCATTTTGCGTTATTAGAACTCTCCATTAATTTGTATTTCTTTTGTATTTACATTTTTCCAACTTCATTTTTTATTTTCTTAGTTGCGTTTTTGTAGTTTTACATGTACACTTAAACTATGCTCCTATTTGTTTCCACTAAAAAAAAGTGATTAAAATCCAAATTAACATCAACACATTTTATGAAATTCATAATTTTTCAATTACATAACATATCAAATTTTATTAAAATTTACTAAAGTTTTGATTTTAAAAGGAGCATATATCTTTGTTTAAAGAGCTAATCAGCTCTATTGTTGCGAAAGAATCAATCTATGTGACACTATATGATAAATTCAATTAAAAGTTAAATTATATAATTTATTTTTATTTAATAACGCTTAGTACTATCTATACTAATATTATAGCATAAGTGATACTAAATAACATTAGTAGATTTTCCAAGTGCAATAATATCAAATAATACCTATGGAGAAAACCATTTATATCTCGGCGTGAGCCCATGTACACCCCCTCACATGGAAAGGGATCCACACCCAATAAATACTTTCAACCGACCTCCCATGTAATGAGGGCATGTGCGTCTAAGTGCACACTCCGACTACGTGTAGTGGAACTCAATATCTATTGAAGGGTGATATTTACCATCTCAAGCTCTTTCACTTGGCTCCAAAAGGACAGGTGTCTCAAAGACTACTGTTTGAAAGGGGACATGTGTCCTATGCCACTACCTCAGCAAATTAATCAATGTCTTTATCTTCTGCATTTGCCCTACAAACACAACTCCCAAATACCTACTCCATTATGCAAGATTTTAAGACCGTTTGAGAAGTGCATGACAAGCAGACGGGGACAAAAGGTATCCGTTACAGAAACAACCGATGACTGATAATATGCTCATCTCAACAAGTATTTATACGACACCTTTGTATGTCTCTTTATGGTATTTTGAAGCTAGTGGTTTCCTTCACCTGCACGTGTAAAAATATCTAAACAATGGATTGTGATGGATCTCTAACTTTGTTGTCTTTCTCTATCTCTAAATAGTGCTCATCCGTTTTAGGCAAGCACGTCAGTTTCTAGCCCAGTTTCTGAAAAATCAAGGTTCTTAGGCGTTTATATCCTGGGTTTCTTTAGCTTTGTCAAACGCGTTTTTCATATTAGTGAAAGCTTTTTCTGATTGTTGGATGAATACGAAACAGAACTGTAGAAATGCTTCATTTATGTTGCATTATTTTGACTAATTCTGGGGTCTCTTATTTTATCAAATTAATAGAATCTAGTTTAGGTAAAAATATTTATTTGGAATATTTTGGGCTTGATATCTGTTGTCCGACATTTTCTAAAAATCGAACATGGTAGCATATATGTAATATATTAGAATTCTCACCTCTTTGAATCGGATCTTTGGCTCTATTTCTGTATATGAGCATGTTTAGATTATTAATGTCTAGTTATTTATGTGATTTTGCTGTACAGATAAAGAGTTGTGTCTGTGCTGGTTATAGTGTCGTGGAAGTGGTGTAACATGGGTCGTTTATCGTGGATTTTCGATGGATTATTGAGATCGCTTTCAATAAAAAAAGCCAAGAATTTGGAGAACAATAAGGTAACTGATGATGGAAGAGATGCTGTGGAAGCTATGGCCAAGGATGCGAAGAAGAATGAGTTGATATTGAGGACTCAAGGCACTGTTAATGTTGACAGATCCGAGAACTTTGCTTCAGTTTTCTCAAAACGGGGGGAGAAAGGCATGAATCAAGATTGCTGCATCGTTTGGGAGGTATATGTTGAGTCAACTCGTCTAAAAGCTTAAGACATAAAAATAGGAATAAATGTGCTTCAATACACCCCTTTCTGATGATTGCAAAATTTTCATAAATGGGTAGCTATGGGACTTGAACTCACGGCTTGAGCTTGCTTTCATACTATTTTGAACCAACTCATTTAAAAGTTGAAGATTTTATAAAGGGGATGAACTTGTTTATCTTAGAACAACTTATCAATGGTTTAACTTAACCCACTCATACCATACCATACCTTTTACCAAGGACATTCTGAGGCTGAATCATGTGGATTACCAGGCACCCATATATTGATTTGTTGAAAACATTCAGTAGTTTAATTCAACATTGCCATTGTTCAGCTGTCAACAGTTTCATTGATATATTGCAATTTGGCGTTTCTTTTGACATTTTTGATGATAGTTGTGCCTTGTGATTTTCGGTATCAGGAATTCGGATGCCAAGAGGACATGATGTTTTGTGGGATATTTGATGGTCACGGGCCTTGGGGACATTCCGTGGCGAAGAGGGTAAGAGAGTCAATGCCATCATCGCTTCTTCGTAACTGGCAGGAGACACTCATTGAAGCTTCACTTGATCCCGAATTTTCGGAATCAGCTGGAAATGTTGATAAATTCAACATATGGAAAAATTCCTACTTGAAGACATATGCTGCCGTAGATCGTGAGCTGGACCAACACTGTAAGATTGATTCATTCAACAGTGGCACCACTGCTTCAACGATTGTTAGGCAGGTAACAGAAGTTACACTAATAGCATGCAATGCTTCCTTGCAAAGAGTATTCAACACATCTGAGGCCCACAGATGTAGATTCTGTTTGATCGGACTGCGTGACCAAATTTTTGTGTTCTCTTTTATTTTTAGTCAGAATGTGTTCTTTTGGTTTTTATTCGGCTTGTGCTTTTGTTGTGTTGTTCCCCTGCATTTGATTACATTTTGAAACATGTTCTTAGGATGTGAGGATCCTAATCTGTGGAACTTAAATAGCAAGTACCAACGAACCAAATCCAAAAATTACGTAACGTTTTGGCTTTAAACTTGTCTTTGGACTTCCATGAAAGGCATGTAATGTAGAAAACTCACAAATTTTATCAGGAGTATTTGAAATCTTTTTCTTCAACTTGATTTCTGTAATGAATCTTCACATATTTTAGGTAGGGATATTTTCTATTCCTATATACCATGCGATTTTATCGAGTTCATCATACTTCTCCATTTCTTCCATGTCTCCAGGGAGAGCTTATATTTATTGCAAATGTTGGCGATTCACGTGCTGTATTGGCCACCATGTCTGAAACTGGGAACTTGGAAGCAGTACAGCTTACTATGGACTTCAAGCCCAATCTGCCTCGTTAGTCCACATCTCCCTCTGTGCAGGCCTCTCTCTATTCCTAATTAAATATTTATTCTTCATATAACTATGTTAACAATGTTTCCAGAGGAGGCTGAGCGCATAATTCAGTGCCAAGGCCGAGTGTTCTGTCTGCATGATGAGCCAGGGGTTCACAGAGTGTGGCTGCCCGATGAGGAGTCTCCTGGACTAGCAATGTCTAGAGCTTTTGGGGACTATTGTGTTAAGGATTTTGGTCTTGTTTCGGTACCTGAAGTGACACAGAGACATATAACGAGTGAAGATCAGTTTGCCGTGCTCGCAACAGATGGGGTTAGTATGATCTTATTCATTAATCTTGCCCTTGTGGACAAATGTTCAAGCATAGGTAACAATATTGCATTTCTTTTAAGGATAACATGGCTGGCTTAAAATCACTATGATTCCAATTAGGCAACATCTGTTTGTACTGATCCACGAAGCACACGGTATTCATTTAGATCATGTAAAGCATAGGCCAGGAGGCAATTTTCGATTTTGTTGGTTAGGCTTTGAGGGAGGAAAATTTGACAATAAGCAGAAACCTGTGAAGCCAGCCGAGTTCAGCCGCTCTTGTTCAAGTATCTTTAAAATATATGTAATCATCACATAAGCTATATGATCCGTGGGGTGCAAAAATATTTTACATTCGATAATAGCCGCCTTATCTCAGATGTCTTTACCATGTACTTTTGTGCCATATATATGAGCGAACTTTAATTACGAAAGATTGATACTGATATTGAATTCTGTGTTTGATGGAACGAAGGTATGGGACGTTATATCGAACGAAGAAGCGGTGGAAATTGTGTCATCAACTGAAGACAGAGGAAACTCAGCTAAATGTCTTGTGAAGTGTGCTGCCCATTTATGGAAGAAGAAGAGAAAGGAAATAGCAGTGGATGATATATCAGCTATTGTACTCTTCTTTCATTCTTCTTCTTCTTCTTCTTCTTTATGTGATCAAGTTTACCCTGATGTATCTTCACGAAAGTAACTAATTCTGACAAAGGATTGTTGAAAATTAACTGCATTTATGTAATCTCTCCCTCTTCCTCTATTACTCGCAGCAAAATCACTACAATTAGTCTTTTTTCTTTTCATGCTAGTGCATTAATGGAACTGTCAAGGGAATGTTAGATTATATACTTAGGATCTAGTAATGCCATATTAACTTTAAATAGCACATAGATCAATTGCAGAAATTAAATGGACGAAAAATATACCTCCAGCCTTTGATGTCAACTGTGCAATCCGAGAATGGAGCTTTACATCTTGGATTGGAGCGCTTCTAATTCCTTCTCAATTCCTTTACAATGGTGTAAGAAAATTGAATGAAATAGATAGCATTAGGGACCCAAAATTGCGTTCCATATATAGGCTCTACCAGTATTGAGTCTACCTTATTCAATGCCAATAATTATGCAATTATTGACAAAATTGGCAGAATTTATGAGCCACTTTATTTGATATCAAAAATTTCTCACTCAAAATAGGAAAGAAACCAACATTCTCCCAATTGGCCCAAAAATTCTGCCATTTTCTATAGTAAGAAACAGATACATGAATTATGACATTAGGTCCTCTTAGAACGAGTATTATCTTCCATGTATTACAATGTAATCTGTATCTTAACACTAGCCCATATAGTTTAATGAATAAACCTTATGTTTATTCAAGGTCCCAACATTTGAAATATTTCTCCAACCAATGAATGTGTATACAACAAAAATTAGAAATTATCACAACTGATATTAGAGTTTTATTACTAATGACATTAGTCTATACTATGAAATCATTTTAAGGAACTAAGCCCCATTCGATCTACATGATCCTTGAACTTGAATGGTGGCATGCCTTTTCTCAAAGGATTAACAATCATTAATTGAATGTTAACGTGTTCAATGACCATTCTTTTATCTTTAACACGTTCTCTTATGGCTAAGTACTTGATGTCGATGTGTTTGCTTCGTCTGCTACTTTTGTTATTTTTTACCATATAAACTGCAGTTGAATTATCACAAAATATCCTCGATGGCCTAGAAATTGAATCCACAATATTAAGTCCAGAAATAAAACTCTTCAACCATACACCATGCGAGGTTGCCTCGAAACAAGATACGAACTCAACCTCCATAGTGGAAGTAGCACTTAAGGTTTGCTTTGTGCTTCTCCAAGATACAGCTCCACCAGCAAACATGAAAATGTATCTAGATGTTGATTTTCGTGAATCAACACAGCCAGTAAAGTCCAAATCTGAGTAACCAATCACTTCAAGATTATCAGTTCGTCTATACATAAACATGTAATCTTTCGCCCCTTGAAAGTACCTCATCACCTTCTTTGCAGCTTTCCAATGGTCCATATTTGGATTACTCTGATATCTTCCCAACCTTCCAAGAGCAAATCCAATGTCAGGCCTTGTGCAGACAAACACGTACATTAGGCTTCCAACAACAGAAATCTATGGAATGTTTTTCATTTGTTCCCTTTCAAAATCATTTTTCGGGCACTGGTTCAAACTAAATCTATCACCCTTCATAATGGGAGCTATACTTGATGAACGGTCCTTCATTCGAAATCTCTCTAAAATCTTATTGATATAGGTTTCTTGTGACAAACCCAAAATATCTCTCGGTTTGTCCGTGTAGATTTTTCTGCCAATGACGTAAGATGCACCACTTATCCATATCTTTCATGTCAAAGTTTTTAGAGAGAAATTGTTTCACCTCATATAGAAAACTCCTATCATTGGCTGCAAGTAAATTATCATCCACATATAGAATAAGAAAACAAATTTTACTCCCACTGACCTTCTCATATTTACATTGATCCATAATTTTCTCTACAAAGCCAAATGAAGAAATAACATCATGAAATTATAAATACCATTGACAGGAGGCTCGTTTTAATCCATATATGGATTTCTTAAGTTTGCACACCAAATGCTAACCACTATTAGAGGAGAATCATTCTGGTTGTTTCATATACACCTTCTCCTCTAGATCTCCATTGAGAAAGGCCGATTTCACATCCATTTTTTGCGACTCTAAATATAAATGTGCAAACAATCCTATAATGATACATAAAGAATCTTTCTTAGATATGGGAGAAAATATCTCCTTATAGTCAATTCCTTCATTTTGAGTAAATCCCTTGACTACTAGTCTTACTTTATATCTTTCAATGTTGCCTAATGAGTCTTTCTTTGTCTTAAAGACCCATTTACATCCAATGGCCCTTGCACCATTAGGTAACTTGACAATATCCCAAACTCTAGTGGATGCTATAGAATCCATCTTATCTTTCATTGCATTGCACCATAAATTTGATTCTTTACAATTCATGGCTTGTGAAAATGTTTCAGGATTGTTTTCAGCTGCGATGTTATAGTTCGATTCTTACAAATACACAATATAATCACTGATTTCCTTACTCTAGTAGATCTCCTTAATATTGTATCAACATTTTCCTGAGGATCTTGTTGTTCAACCGGTTGTTCAATAATTTATGGCGATTCTTGAACATCTTGATCTACTGGATTGTCATTAGCAACTTGTGGAACTTCAACAATTAGTTGTCAAAAACCTGTTTGAATTTGAGGGGGTGTTGTGAACGATAATCAATCTATCACTTGAAGTGGAAGGTTGAGCATCAATATGATTCCCTTCAGAAACAATGTCTGGGAATTGATCGCTCCCACTAATCAGTCCTTCTCAAGAAACTTTGCATTTCTTGACTCTACAATCCTAATGCTATGAGATGGACAATAGAATCGGTACCATTTTGACATTTTGGCATATCCAATGAAATACCCACTAATAGTCACTGGGTCCAGTTTCTTCTCTAGTGGATAATAAACTCTTACTTCAGACGGGCATCCCCAAACGTGTATATGTCACAAACTCGGTTTCCAACCTTTCCATAATTCAAATGGTGTCTTTGGGATAGCCTTGGTTGGAACTCGGTTTAATATATACATTCCCGTTTTAAGAACTCTGGTCCACAAGGATCTAGGAAGCTTGGAGCTGCTAAGCATACTCTGCACCATGTCTAATAACATTCGATTTCTTCTTTCAAACACACTGTTTTGGTCCCGAGAACTAGGCATATTGTATTGGGCAACTATCCCATTCTCTTGAAGAAACTTCGCAAATGGACTAGGTGCTTGTCTATCCTCGATGTATCTACCATAATATTCTCCACTCTATCTGTTCTCACGATTTTAATTTGCTTTCCACATTGTTTCTCTATTTCGGCCTTATAAACCTTAAAGGCATCTAGTGTTTCTTTCTTGTTATGAAGCAAGTAGATATATATGTATCGTAAATAATCATGAATGAAAGAGATGAAGTATTTCGGACCATACGAGTCCATGTCTGGATTACAAATATCTAAATATATGATTTCTAACATGTCTGCACTCCTCTTAGCACCTTTCTTGGAATTGTTGGTCTGCTTCCCCTTAATACAGTCCACACAAGTGCCAAAATCAATAAAATTCAAAGTACTAAGTACTCCATCATTTACCAATCTCTTAATCCTTTCTATGGAGATATGTCCCAATCTCCGGTGTCATAATATAGAGGAATCTTCATTCATAGCACATTGTTTCATAATAGTGTGAACATGCATAACATTATTATCAGTACTATGTTGTAAATTAATAGAGAAAAGACCATTAGACAAGTTACTATTCCTAATAAGATCAGATTTATAAAATAAACTTAAAGATGTGTTTGAAAAATTAAAGGAATATCCCAAAGGTACAAGTCTTGAAATCGAAATTAAATTTCTAGAAGAACTTGGAACATAAAAGGTCTTTTCCAATTCTAAAACATAGCCATTATTTAAAATTAAACTGCATGTTCCAATAGCCTTCACATGTGAACCCATCTTATTTTCCTGATAAGATGCTTTGTTTACTTCCCATCGGCTTCCTTAGATTTCGCATACCCAACAAGATATTTGAAATATGGATTATAGCACCAGAATCAACCCATCGTTATTATGATTAATATCAACCATATTAGATTCATAACAAACAAGGAAGATTGATTTACCTTTCATCTCAAGTCATTTCTGAAATTTGGTGCAATCTTTTTTCATGTGCCCCTTCTTTTTACAGAAGAATCACTTATTTTCCTTTCTGATTTCACATTGGGGTCATATTTTAAATTTTCCCTTTTGCTTGACTTGGTTATGATTTTTTCCTTTGTTCCGATCCTTCTCACGTATTGCCAACAGTGCATTCTCACCCATTTCCATAGCTAACCTTCCTTCCTCTTGAACATAATGGTCAGAAGTTCATTGATTGACCATATATTTTTATGCGTGTTATAAGAGATTTTGAAGGGTCCATATTGTTGTGGAAGAATATTCATTATATAGTGCACAAGGAAGGAATCAGACATATCAAACTCCAGAGTTTTCAGCTGAGCTGCAATGTCCCTCATTTGCATGATGTGCTCACGTACACTTCTTACATTGTTGAGCCTTAAGGATAAAAATTTCATTATCAGGGTGCTAGCAAGTGCTTTGTTTGAAGTTATAATCTGTTCATCAATAGCCTTTAATTAGCTTTGACATTGTCATGCTTATCGACAGAGGATCGAATACTAGCATAGACCACTCCAACTGTTCATAAAGAGCATTTTCTTCTAGAGTGCTGGTTGTAGTAATATTTGGCTTGTCTTTCCTTATAGCATAATCGATATCCATGCACCCCAAATGTAGGAGAATTCTCTCTTTTCACACTTTATAGTTGTCCCCTTTCAATTCGAGAATTTCTCACTTAATTTCAGAGAAATTCGGAGGTTGCATGACTACAAGAAAATCAAATATGCATAAAATTTGAGACAAATGAATAAATATCATGCTTTACCAATATGAATCATGTTTCAAAATTATGAATCTAGTGACATAGAACTTGCATGGGGCTAAAGTTCTACTCAATTAGATCCATGTATAAACTTTATGATAAAACTATTAAATCGCGTTCCAATTCTTAATTCCCATGGATAATTAAGAAAATAATTCAATATTTTTTCTAGTTGATCA